TCGCTTTTCCTCTTGCGCCAGCATGTTCTGATACCGGGTGTCGTAGTTGATGTCTACGGGTACCTTTTCGAAAGAATTCCATAGCCCAGATACAGAGGGCGGGAGCAGACTTGGTGTGGAGGAAATGTCCTCGTCTTCGAAGGCGGAATTTGACCGTCGCAGATGAGCCGGCCATAGGATAGGCGTGCTGTCTTCGAGCTCCTGCCAGTTGGGCCAGACGTTGCGCCATGCATCTATCTCTTTCAGGGCTTTGGCGTCCCCGTGCGTGAGATATGCGGCTAGGATGCCGTGCACGGATGCGCCCTCTGGGAAGAGATCCACGAATGAAGACGGGATGGAGTCAATGGATAGCATTGCCGTTTGTGGGACAGTGAGCATGATCTCTCCCTCCTTTCTCGTGATGGCTGGTCAATCATTGTAGCGACGCTGTACGGTTGTATTTTGTTGACGTACTCACTTCTATGGTCTTGGTTGCGATCATTCCTAACCGGCGGCCGGGGAATCGAGCTGGCGCTATGCCGTTGATCTCGATTCCCTTCTCGATGGCCCATTTGGTGAAGGCGAGATGTTCTTGACCCGGCAATTCGTCCATCTCTGCTGCCGATTCTTCTACTGCCTGGGAATGTTGATATGCCTAGGTTGAGTCGTCGCGAATGCACCCAGCTAACAGTAACTGTCTCGACTCTGGCCAATCAGAGTGTGCAATAGACCGGAGAAGGCTTACATAAGCCGGCGGAAATTCCGTGATTTCTCATCACAAAAATCTCCAAGGGGACGGAAAAGCTACAATTCACGACACAGGAACTCACCCAGTCACTAGTCTAGTCGTGGCGATGGCTTCTGAGCCAGTCGCATCGGGACCCGGCGAGGCCAACCCGGAGAACCCCGCAATGGCAGCCCCAGATTCTAAGATCGACCACGCCGCATCTATCCGATACTGGAACAGCGTCGCTGCCAACTCCAACACCATGCTGGGCATGCTGGGGAGCTACCCCTGGTATACACGCATTGATCTACGCGGCTCGAAGAGTTTTCTTTCCAAGGTCCGACGATTGGTACCCGGTTGCACCACCGAAGGGAAATTGAAGCTGGGAGCTGACTGCGGTGCGGGGGTGGGGCGCGTCACGGAGGGGTTCCTCAAGGATGTCTGCGAAACCGTGGACGCAGTCGAGCCGGTCGAGAAATTCACCCAGGTTATACACGACAGCGCTCTGAAGCGATCTGGTGTGGTGGGCGATATTTACACCGTCGGTTTGGAGGGGTGGTACCCGGAGAAGAAATACGACCTGATCTGGACTCAATTCTGCGTGGGACATTTAACCGACGTGCAGTTGGTTGAGTACTTTGTGCGGTGTCGTGAATCGTTGACAGATACGGGAATGGTGGTTGTCAAGGAGAACCAGTCGACTGATCCCAATGGAAATGATATGTATGATGACGAGGACAGTAGCGTGACGAGGACGGATGAAAAGTTTAAAGAAATCTTCAAGCAGGCTGGATTGATCGTTGTCACATCCGAATTGCAGCTCGGATTCCCAAAGAATTTCAAGCTGCTTCCTGTGAGGTTCTATGCTCTGCGGCCGAAGAGTTGAACTCACTTTCCAACATTGTCACGCGCCTTCATACCTCAGGAGTTAGATACCGGAGTCTCTGGATATACCCAACGAAGTGTGATGTCTGGTATTCCTAGTTCCTGGCCTGGCATCCCTATTTGCTAATGCCAAGCTCATGCGCCATCCGCCGCGTCGTCATGCCCAACGGAACCGTCCGTCGCTTTGGATACGGCTGACAGTCGATGTGACTAACCCCTTGATCGTTCATTATACGACGGCATCTGAAAGGTCATTCCAAGCTTGACTAGCAGCCTCATTAACAACGGGATGCAAATATTGGGCAAAAATATACATTGACCTAAATACATTAGAGCTAGGGTATCTATATACAATACATTGAATACACGTGGATTTTAAGCATATCGTCGTTACCCTTGCTGTCCACAGCTGGATCATTGTCACAACTTCCGTTGAGGAGATGTCAGGGTTCATGGCGTGGTTGGACCAACCTGATTTTCCAATGAACTGCTGAGTTCAAGTAAAGGCGTGCTTGTTAACCCCCCTCGAAGTTTGCAAGCGCGCAAAGACAACTGGATGGATGATAAAGGAAAGATTGATCACAACTTGCGCCTTTCTGTCATGCAAAACATTGAATCATACGTTTGAATGACCGTCAGACGGGGTAGATTGTGTAGAGGGCTTTTCCTTGTTTTTCTCGCGGCCCCAAGGCCATAAATGTTCGTGTATTGACTCGAGGCGAGTCCGATCAGCCGGCGCGCTAATATCATCCGTGTATGGAATACCTCCTTGACCGCGGTTTTCAGCCCATGCCTTCTTCTCACGACGAAGATCACTTTGGACCCACGGGATGGTAATTAGCGTCCAGACGCCGGCCCAAGCGAACGGCAAGGACCACCCAAGCTATGAAGAACGAACCCGTCAGCTTTCCATGTAATCGATCATCAAAAACGGGATGGGCGGTTTACCGTGTATGCAACAGGTCTTGGTGTCGTAAAAACAATTGCGGTGATGGCGGCGGCGAAAATAATAGAGCCCCCGGCCCAGAAACAGTTCATTTGAAAGAGCATACGGCGGAAGTATGGGCTTGAAAGATACCGGACTCGAAGGGCATACCGGAACTTCTGGCCCCCGGCCCCATCCACTGCTACCACATCCTCGATCATGACATATAAAGCTGTTGGCATTGTAGAGCCCTTTGGGGTCGAGGAGATTCGGAAAGGAGCCTTGAAACCTAGCACACGGAGTATATCGAGGGCCAAGTAGACACCACCGAAGTAGAACATGACGCTTGGGAGAACCATGGCTACTAGTCGCACTATAGATTTATAAGTATGGGAGAGAGCAATAAACGGTAGGATATGTTACCATAAGGTTCTGGCTGGACGGTTCCCCTGGCCTCTTGTTAGTATATAACACAGCAACTATCCAAAACAATGAATACTTCCGAAACTTACACGATGAGCTCAACGGCGAGGATCAGCCAGACGATGGTGAAATTGATATGGAAGAAATCCAGCTGCAATGGAGCGTCAGTTCCCAATATATTCTACCCTCGGGGCGTCTTGATCAAGCCTACCCATGATTTTCGTGCGTTCAACGGTCGAGCGCGAGAATCCTTTCGGAACAAGTTATAGAGCCGGTAGAAGTATTCAAATACAGAAATTCCTCCCAATGAAGCTGTCACAATGGTAAAGACTAATTGCACGAATCGGTTAGCACGTATGTCATGCCTGCGTATCCACCGAAGACTATGCCAGGAACATACCCAAGTTATGCGACAGGTTAGTGCCATACCACAGACCGAAGTAAAGCGCTATGGGTTGAGCGAGGGCATCAATAACGAATAATATCCAGAAAAGCGCGATTGACTTCTTTCGTGTCCGTAGTGAGTAAGGGAGCGGCGGAGGTTCCAAAGGGTTGGTGCTGGCGGTTCCTTCTTCCATCGCTATAGCCCTAGCGATGGTGAGGATATGCGGAGATTAACTGGGGTTCAACAGTATAGGAGATCAATGGAAGGGAGACTGTCATGCAACGAGATTCATGGTGTGATCGAAGAATGGTAGAAATAATCCGAGTGTGAGTGGCGACAACGGGGCTGAGTTATTGCCGCTGTCAAGGCGCGTTGGGACTGGTGATAGTTTTATGTGGGCTGCAACCAATTCATTGAGTGCACCGGACGGTAGACGGGAGAAGATTGTTCTAGGTCGAGAAAGATGCAAAAGGACCGGAAACAAATGGAGTGTTCTTTTTTTCTTTTCTTTTCTTTTTTTTTGGGCTGGCTGTAAAGTATTAGACTTTTCTGGGTTGAACAAACAAGGTGCCTGACGTAACCGGACCCCGTGATGTCATTTGACATCTTTCAAGATTGCAAAGTGTATGTTTAGATCAATAACTAGTTAATTAAATGCCCAAGACGGTATGCCGAGGAACAACACCAGTAGCAACAACAACAACAACAACAACAGCATTCTTGATTATCTTCCCCTCCGAAAAATAACCATGAATACCTTACACAGTCCACACCTGCCTGATTTTCGGAATACGTAAAGTTTCACCTTCCGTAGGATCAAAAACTTGAAGAAAGGTTTTGCATATTATTGGCTCCGTTTGTTGCTATCGGCGGTTGGCTGTCGCCGAACTTCCGATGGCAGCGAAGTACAACTACAAAGTACGGAGTACTGTATATCTACGCATCTACTACATACCTCAATGGGTGTACCTGAGTTCGAGACTTGATCGCTTCGTTATTCAGATGAATCGATGTATTAGACTGAAATCAATTATAACTATTCTCTCGAAGCAATATCCTAAAATTCTTTGCTTCTTGGTTTACTTAGTTGTCCTGCAGAATTTCCGGTAAAAGCTGGAAAGAGTAAAAGGCGAACCCGGTCTAGCCGGCCGATCAGCGACGATCCCTTTGGATGATGCATTAGGTGCGTTATGCCGAGAAATCGAGTGCTGTATGACTAATTATGATAGTATAACTAACTTGTGCAGCAACTCCAAGTAAGATTGCGTATCCTGAACCGTTCCTTCAAATCAAAGCACGAAGAACCTGGAAGCTAAGGTTTTCAAGTAATTCAAAGTGAGTGCTAGGTATCATACTACTAGTGGTAGTTTAACCCTATTTGTGATTGAACGAATCATGCCACTGAGACTCAAGACCTTCACTCGATGCCTGAGAACCATGGCATACATCACGTGCCGGGAGACCCGCCACCCCCACCAATCTGCTGCACATAATTTTTCACTCTACGGCGATGGTTCGAATCTCGCGCTCAACGTGGATCGAAGGCTTGTCAAATTTCTTTTTGCGACGGAGAGATTATCCCCCAGGTGATGAGTTGAGATCAATGGGAACACGTCAAATTTTTTTACTCCCCCCGTTCCCTTACCTATTGGCCGCAATTCAGCCATGTAAATAGGATGGCCCCTAGTCTACGAGAGTTGATTGATTTTCTCCTCGCAGAGATTGCTCTCTGCGGTGATCAAGGTCAGTTCGCTGTCTTTTGTGTTCTTGTTATGAGGGTCCACTACTGCAGCACCGGCTCTAATTTTGGCGATTTGATATCCAAATCCCTGCATCCTGCTTCTTCTGGCGCTGGGATCAAAACTCTCTTTTTGTTTCAAAATTTTCAATAAGACAATTGGATGTACCATAAAAGGTATAAGGAGACTAACGTACTCCAGGCGCTTCTCCTTCCGATGTCTTGACGTTCATCAATACTTTCTATGCCAAGGCTGCACAAGATGCATCCACCCGCAGCCATGTCGTTGACCGGCAATTTCAGGAAAAAGTCTGGTCGTGGCTAGCAAGAAACCCTGAAGTTTCTATTGGTGAAAATAGAGAATGGAATGCTCTGAGTTTTAGTGATGTAGAACGTCGTGTTAATGATGCATCCAGCTCTGAGCACACTGCCCAAAGCCCAATTCGTGTTTTTGTCTCGAAGGAGAGGACATGGCTTGCTATCACAGGCCATGAGCCAGACGAAAACAAACTTCTTGCCACTGAATTCGCTCTACTATCTATCATCGCATCGCGCAAGTCAAATGGTATTGCTCAGACGGAATTGGTGAAACTGAGCGGCCAAGACAAGCGCTCAGTCCCCAAGCGAACTGACCAACTGCAGCAAAAAGGCTACATTGAGAAGAGGGCTATCCAGATCAAATCAACCCGAACTAGTCTTTGCACCCTACGTAAATTTATGCAAGCAGAGCAATCATCTGCGGAAACCACAAAAGACCAATCCTCGGGCCAACCACAAGTGATCGACTATAAGGAATTTAGCAAGCAGCTTTTCAGTATCCTTCGGGAGCATGAGATCATTTCCCGTGTTGATCTCAAGAAAATTCTCGGCTTTGCGGATAGATGGCGGTGGCGTATCCTCTCTCGTGCTCTGCGGAAATTTGAACGCATAGGCGTCTTAATGCGTGTCAAGGCCATGTCGCAGTTTTCTGAGAATGATAAACATTATTTTGCTTGCGTGAAGCTTATACGAGAACCGACCGAAAAGGATTTGGAGTTGTTCCATGAATTTAGTCGAGGCATCTCAACCAATCTGGAGCAGGATGATAATGCGGAACTGGATGAAGACGTAGACCCGAACGATGCGACAAGGGAATCTCCTCTGCTAAATAATGGCGAAACGCTCAATGTGATGAAACGAGAGGAGGATACAGATGAAGCAGGTCGCATTCTTCCTGTGTGGTCTCCAGACCAGACTATCCACAACCTGATCCTTGACGTTGTCGAAAATGCGGGGACTGACGGAATTATGAATCAGGTGCGTTAGATTAAAAGAGACAAAAAATGGCTACCTGTCATCATTCAAGGAATGTAATCTGACTTACCTACCAGCAAATCATCAGAAAATGCTTTGGTGGTTTCTACCGTCGGCCACTGGAGAACACAATGAGTCGTCTGGTAGAATGTTGGCAGCTGTCACAACCATTGCATCTACGCCATATGGCTATTGTACGAGACACGGTACTAAACCGCACGATAACTCAGTATAACCATTTCACCGCAACAAACTTTGCAAAGCTTGTTGAGTCGGGCGAGTCAGCCTGGGAAGCTGTTGAGTTTACCCCGAAAAATCCGAAGGTGGACAAGATTCGCGCACCGCCTGTTGACGCACAGCCTGAGCTGGATAAGTATGGACTGCCTGTGGCTGTACCTGCAAAGGAGCTCCTGAAAAATGGCGATGTTTCTCTTTTGGAATGCATAGTTGCAGTGGACCCGTCAAGCTACAATGTCACCAACACTGATGCCGCAGCAATCCGACTTAAAGATGGAACATACGGTGGGTTATTCCAAGTCCGAGGAACCTTGATGTTATCCACAGCACTGACGATTCCTAGCACTCCACTGTGGGCAAACCAAGGCGCCTGCGGGAAGTAAAAGGCTTGCTACAGGTTCTGACATAGTAACTCCGAGCAGACCGAAAAGACCACGCCTCGATGTATCAGATTCGGAGATGGGCGATAAAACCCCAGGCAGTTCTATCTCGACTGTCAAACGCCGGAAAGTACCAAGGGATGAGTCTGCAAAGTTCCAAGGAATGTCTGAGATCGAGAAGCTTAGAGCTCTTGGTTTAGATGAGACTTGGACGGAGTACAACGCGCTGCTGATTCAACGTCCACATTCTGGAGTTTATGTCACACCACGTGGAAGGCGAAGACCTACTGGCAAAAGACAAGGTCGTCCAAGGATCAGTCGAATTGCTGTCTTCAAGTCCCCGAAGCTGTCGTCTTTTCCCTGGTTTCTGGAAGAAGCTGAAGCAGGCGGCCAAGACGACGGATCACAACAGCCTTCTCGGGAACAGACTGTCGAAGAGACTGTTGAAGAAAATGTCGAAGACACACCTGTTCCCACACCCATTCCCAAACCTGCCACGGCAAGTAGGATCCTAGATGCTGCTCCTGAAGATATAGATGCCACACCTTCCCGAGGCACTAAAAGACGCTCAAGGCAACCCGCATCTAAACTTGAATCTAGCCCAGCAACTATGCGCACTCCAAAACAGAGACGCATTACGGACTTTACCACTAAGGCTAATAATGCTTCTATGATTGGTACTAAAAATCCCGAGGCCGTTCCAGCTGGAGACTCAAGACAGGATCGCCCTGATGTTGGCAATGATGATAAAACCCAAGGGAAGCCATTGAAACGGAAGAGGGCTGAGTCACCCAACCAAAATAGCCAAGAGGTTGTTGTAACCGAGAGAAGTTTAAGAGAGAGCAACGTTCATGCGACACAGGCCCTAGAGGTACCATCTTCCAAGAAGCCTCGCGAAGCAGTCGGAAATGAGGCAAATAAAGACGCCACAGGCGCTAAAGACAACCTTACAACGGATCATGCTCCTGTTAATGACTTAAATGGATCGGCACCAATGGAGACAGAGGAATGCAACGCCGCGCCGACAGACGGGGTTGCAGTGGGCCAAACACCAGCATCTCGGACTGTTGTAGACCGCCAAGAAGTCAACGCCAATCCCTTGGAGCGCCCAGATACGGAAACGCTGGGTGAGGGCAGCAGAGCGAGAGAAAATGTGAAGGAAAAGAAAGGTTCTGTCGGTTTCATACGGCGAAAGATTATTCTGGACATTGTCGAAAAAGCTGGCGGGGCATTCCCCATGGGAACTGAGATATGGTACCCGTTCGCGACTGCATGGAGGAAGACCAAGTACAAAGAAACCCCCGACCTTCGTACGATCAAAGCAACTGTGAAACATATAATCGATGCTGGAAAGCTTCGCCAATTAACCTTTAGTGGGAAGGATAACAAAGGGGTTATGGTAACAAAGAATATCATAACTAAACCCGACATGCGGGCAGATGACCCCCTAGTCATCGATATGCAAAAAAAGATGCTGGCTGCAGGCTCCCGGCATTACATTCCAGATAATGTCGACTACGATCCTGAAATGACAAAGACTGGTGCAAGGAGAGTCACTTTTGGAAAAGACGGCAGAGACCCCAACACGTATTCCAAACTTCCTGTCGAGTCAGCACTCACAGTACAATTGCAGTATAAACCAGGCTTTGTTGTAGCCCAGGAGAAGAGGAAGGGTCTGAGCGTTCAGAAGCGACTACTGCAGAGGATCGGGGAAGGGAAGGAAAATCATTCAAAAGTGGTTCGACTCTTGTCACTCCAGCGACCGTTGGCACAAGACTCTATTACTCCTGGAATGACTGCTGCTACAAGGCCCGATCAAATGGCCAACCAAGGTAGAAGGCGGATCAAACCAGGACGTCAACCTTCCGTACTTCAAGCGCAGGACGGCTCAGCCGCCGAAGGTGGCCGGAGAATGAGACGCCTTTGGATTCCCATATCGTCTATGGCACCATACGCGATGCTGATGAACTCAAGGCAGACGTTCTATGCAAATACAGGAACCTTTTCGACAGACGGAGGCCTTGCTGCTCTGCGGGCTGCAAGGCATGACCAGAAGAAAGCGCGCGAGTTACCACGTATTCTTGACGCCACCAGCGACAAAACACCTGAACTGCCTCATTCGCTTGATGATTTGTTTAGCCAGACACGGCGACGCCCTGTTGACTACTCCGAAAGTGCAGACCCCCGATCGAACCGGTTCTTTTATGATACGAATGTGATTATGCGATGGGAACTTCAAAACGAAGGACTACTCGACAAGAAGAGTGCAGATCTTTGGTACATCAATCAGACAGTGCAGAATAGTTTTGATAGCGCTGGAATAGAGGGTAACATACGGTTTGACGTTGATGAACCGGAGCTTCCAGCGCGTCCTCTGCCAGAGCCCAGGGTTACCAGGCAAAGGGGGCGCCGATCCGACTTCTCTGCACAACCTGGTACCTTTGGCACAATGACGCTTCTCGGACCTAACGGACTCCCGATATCTCGGACACTGGCTCCTGGAGTAACGCAGAACCGTCGCTTGGAGAAACTCAATGCATCAATGGCAGCTGGCGATGAGTTCGATACGACAATACAACCTACTGGATCTCGAGCACCTGCTCGTCGGAATCGTACTGGATATCAATTGCCGCACTTGCTGACTCAAAGGATCATGATTGCGATTGTTGTGGTCCGTGCCTTAGCGGGGGGTTATGAAGGTAAAGTTGTCGACTGGACACTCTTTTCTAACAGCTTTCCGGATTATGATCCGCTTTTCATCCAAGCGAAAGGGAAGTACGTGTTAAGCAAGAACCGGCTCCAGTTGGCGAAAATGCAGAGCGACTTCCAAGAGCGTTATCTTGAAGCATACAGCAATGGCCAAGTTCCTCCGATCAACTACGATGACCTCGAGGGGTATGATTGGGAGTGGATTGTCGATTGGGCAAATGCTCAACTCGATGTCCCCAAATCCGAAAAGCTCCTTCCGGACCTACCCGCCACACGAGAGCAATTTGACAGTGTATTCGAGATTCGGGAGGAACCGCCGAGCACTCTGGATGATATTTATCAGACCACTCAGCCATTGACCATCAATCGCAAGCGTAACCTTTTTGCGAGCGTCCCATTTGCCCTCCCTTTGATCGATGAACACAAGACGCCTACCCCTCCCAAGCAGGATCTTTCTCGCTTGGAAGTGGTCAAATCATGGATTCGGGCCAATGTAGTTACTCCGGAAGAGGCATACAGACCTGCCGAGGCCCGACAGGCACTGTCATACATGGGAACTTTTATAGAAAACGCCATCGGGTCGCTGGTAACAGAGAGGATCATATCCATGGGTAACAGAGGCAGGATCACGCCGGGCCGCAACTACGACATCACAGATCACTTCCTGCACGCATTGGGACGTAAGCGACTGATTGAAAGCACTCAGCTCCGACGGGCAGCCAGGTTCAAAACGCAAGTGCTCGACCCAGCACTACAATCTGAAGGCAAATTTGAGATCAAATATAATGCCGAAGACGGCGACATACTAGCGTGATCAACCTATTGGCCGCTCGCAGAGTGACCCTGAGACCACGAGATGCCCCACGCGATAAATACGGGCTGACAGAGGGCGGATACCTGACCAGACAAATCGACAGGGATAAGCTCCGCTTCGCAGTTGAGCTGTACCCCGTTGAAGAAACCTACGTGTACGGGAACCCGATTGAGAAGGAACTCAAGGATGTTCCGGCGCCTTGCCCGCCCCGAGCTACGAACAACGGGGCGGCCTGGGTACCAGAAAAAATCCCTCTATGGTGTGATATACACGGTGGCTTCATCAAGCTACTGTGGGATTTGGCCGTCGCCGCAGTAGCTGGCTGTGTCGCTAGCAGACCGGGGCTCAGCGCCGCGAGCATTGCCAGCATGATCAAACCCACAATGGGAGCATGGGAAATTGAGCATCTGCTGAAATGGATGACAGAGATTGGGGCCATGCGAAAGGAGGGCCTAAGTGGCGAGAAAGAAGCTGGATGGATCCTCCAAGAATGGTGGTGGATGATACTATGCTAGTTAATCTCATCTATCCCCTTATATGTATTTGAATATGTATAGTACTATAGTTTTTTTTGGCCTAATCATGAAGATCAATAATACACACCCACCGTACTCCGTGTCCTATCACCTAATAATACTATAGCACTCGTGGAGCATTCTAAGTCAGAACCACTGCATCGCATTTGCAAAAGCGAGACAGAAAATGATGGATGCCACATACGCAGTCCTAAACCGTTATTCAGGGCGACAACCCCGACCAACCAGCCGCCCCCTTTCATTCTTTTCCTCTCCATACTTTTCTTTGAGTTTCAGCCTGCTTTGGTCTACGGACAAAGTTCGGTCAAAGGGACACAGTATTTCCTGGGTTGCACCGGGGCGATCTAGAGCGATCCGTGCTCCGGCGCAAGGTAGCACCGTTGGAATTGGGCACCGTCACTAGGCCGGAGACGGTATGTCGTTCGCGTTATTCAATATTACCGCTATAAGTGTGGCTTTTTATGTCTCCTCCAATTAATATGTGCGGTGTTAATCGTAATGGAGTCTTGAATGGCTAGTTGGCTTTAATGGATATGAATGGATGGGACGATATGCGTGTTAATACCCCAGGAATTGAACCCACCTTGAGAGTCAGTTGGAGTGTAAAAGTGATGTCTCGACATGCTACTTGTGAGCATACCCAAACATCGATCATATGCTATTTCATGAAGCAATTCTCCAAACGTCCATCTAACCCAACAGGACTGAACCGTGTGAAAGTGGCCACTATCAGTAACGACATCCCTCAACACAAACGCTGGACTTTCCCGGATTCTTCAAGCCCCAGTTTACCGGATGAGTCGAGCTCGTCTGGTAAATCTGCAAGTTACCGTCTCCGGCATACATGGAGGAAGAACATCATCGAGAGGCGTATGGCAGATATGTTTCCGTTTATCACGCCGCATCTCCGGACTGAACTGCCAATTGAACATCTGCGCTAGAAGCTAAGCTCGCGTACTGGACATGGTCGGGCTCGTGCGAATCCGGCATGCAGCAGAGGTTTCATGAGTGTTGGTACCAGAGGTACTTGACCTCCGGGCCTATGTCGTAGTATTCACCCACCGCTATGACCTCGCAGAGTCGGCCCAGGGACCGGCGGGGTAGTGCTTGCGCGGCAGATGGGGACGGAAAGTATGTTGGTAAAGTCTTCGAAGGCCATGTAGGACTCCAGGAGGCGGATATTGACTCATGCCAGGGAAATACCATGGCGGTAGGGGGACAAAGAGTCAAGAGTAATGCGACGATGGTATACTTGTGCTGGTGGCTGAGACGGATGGGAGTTCCGTGGAGGTGAAGTGGTGCATTGAAAGTGTAGATGAATCAGCGGAGGCCGCATCCATGTGAGTTTGATTGAGGGCGGTTTCGCGGTGGCATTTTATTTCCCTGGATGGTCTACTTGGGGTTGGAAAGACGGCGGATTTCAAGATGAGATACATTAATTGAAGTGGTGGCAGGGTGGATGTTGTTTTCGATTCGGATACCTCATTTTGTAGCTTTGAACCTCGGATTTTATATTTACAGATGGGAATAGTGCTTTGACAATTGGATACTATTACTTGACTAAATATATCCCGGATTGTCTCTGGCTCTGCGTCTTCAGCTGAATACAAGGTCTGCTTTAGTAGATAATGCACGCGTGGGATATACATTCGGTGGTATTATGGCTTTTGGCAAAGTAAGGCCTCAGGCAGTACTAGTAGTATATCCATGTGGTATACTTACACTGCGGATAGCTGGCCCATGAAGACTAAGCTGCCCAAGTCGCCGGGGCCGACTCACAACCTTCTTTAGATAAAAGTGCATCTACCATCAGTTGGCTTTGACTGCATAATGCGATAATTCTCCGGAACTCAAAACATGATGTGCAGCCCTTTCTTTGTTGCCTCGGGGGTTGTGCCCTGAGCGTAGGCAGATCAGTATCGCATAGCCTTCAAATAAGAAGGGATATCGGAATAACGGTAAACTTACTTCTTCACCCTATCATACTCGCATACTCACATACCCGGTGAGAATCTCAGTGTCTTGAATGATGTTTGATTGAGAAATATCATGAGTAGGGCGGGCTGACTTTGGTATCTTATAGCAGCGATACACATTATGGCAGTGCATTTACCTAGATAGACTGGTCGCACGGAGTATGCGAGATAGATCGGTTGTCCCACACCAGCAGAGACACCTCACAGTAGTCTATTTGCAGATCAATAGTACTATTAGTCGGTGGCACTCTCTTAGTCTGTACTAGTAGTCAT